TTATCGTATCCCTCTGTAGAGTCGCAATTCAAGGTGCCAGCTGTGCAGAGAGACTGCAAAAACACACTTTAGGAGCTTTATATGTTGGGCCTCTGTTGATATCTCATTTTAAAGCCTTTCTTGGCTGATACAGATGATTTTGGTAAGACTTTAAGTTCCTTTCGGGGAAAACTCATGCAGAAACCTGATTACAAATGTTTTGCACAGGAATTGAGTAATGCTTTCACTGCCATTGTTTCTCGCTCATTTGGATAAATTCTGAATAACTTTTTTTTAGGTATTACACCATTAAAGCTGTTACTGATCTCCAGACAAACAACAGAAAATATGTGATTGATAGGCTGTGTGCTGACGATTCTTACCAGAGGGTGTGTCGGGAGTGACTCCACACACTCTGTGATACATGTGCAGCTCACACTGAAGAGAGTGAACCAAACTGTGGCTCTCACATAGCTGCTGCCGGGTGATGTTCACATCATGCTGCAGCCTGTCAACATAAACATGCTTTTTATTTTTATTGTTTTTATTTTCACATTTGAAAATATCCTAAAGTGTTAAATTTGCAGTATTCATCACAAGACTAAATACAAGATAGAGATGCACACAAACAGTACCTATTGATAGCTTCCTGGTCCCTCAGTCTGTGCTGTTTCAGTTGTGTGATCTCTTGGCTGTGAGATTCAGCCTCAGCTCGCAGCTTCCTGCTTTGCTCTGCCCACCTCTCTGCCTCCAGCTCTGCCTCCTTCAGTCTGGACTGCTCGAGGAATACTGCTTCTCTCAGCTGCTCTGCCTCCTTAATACCTTCTGCATGGGTCATGTGACAGCACAGAGAACAGGAGATATTGTGATGTACCAAGAAAGTGTTTGCCAGAAGTAACTGAACCAACAAATGATCCTTCAGTTTAGGTCATAGTGGTGAACATTAGACTGTACCTCTTGTGACTTGCTTTAGCTTGTTTTCCAGATTGACATTTTTCTCTTTCAGAAGTCTAATCTCACTGGAAAGCTGGCTGGCTGAATCCAGGCCCTGAATGTAGATGTTCGTAGGAGCACCTGTGAAAGAAGGATGAAGACAGATGAATAATAATATACTGCATAGAGTGATGTGGGATTTCATGTTCAGAACAATCATCCATCCATACACCACTTAATCCTCACGAGGGCCACGGGGCTGGAGTCTATCCCAGGTGACTTAGGGCGAAGGCAGGGGACACCCTGGACAGGTCGCCAGTCTATCACAGGGCTACACTTAGAGACAGACAACCAAGCACACTCACATTCACACCTACGGACAATTTAGAATCACCAATTAACCTCAACATATTTTTGGACTTGTGGGAGGAAGCCGGCGAAAACCCACACTGCACGAGGAGAACAAACTCCACACAGAAAGATCCCGGTTTCCCCACCGAGACGCGAACTGACGAGTTTCTTGCTGAGAGGCAATAGTGCTACCAACTGCGCCACCTTGCAGTCCCAGAACAATCAGAAAATGACTTTTTATTTTTATTTTTAAAAACAATATCTAATAAATCAATTATCAGTGTTTCACAGCTTTATATAACAATAGTTCCTACTAATATATTTAATCAATAAATGTGGCCTGAAGCCACGTATGGACTACTGAACACGTCCTCCTGATCACTCAGTGTTAGGTGACTGTTAATATCATTTGTTTCAAAGTCACAGAGTTCAATTAAAACAATAGATATAATATAGTACAAAGACAGAAAAAAATATCTCAAAGAGACTGAAAATGACCAAAATGTGAGACAAAATGACATTTTCTATATAGGAGGGTGGGAGTCCTTTCACTTGTCCCTGTACTTTTTTTGGGTCCATGTGTGGTGATTGTGTGGTTATTTTATTATGGTTGTTACTGATATTCTCCGGTGGTTCCTGGAGAGTGTGTTTTCATGTTTTTCAGGCTGGGCGGGGCTGAATGGAGGAGTACGCGTCGGCACCCTCGCAGCTGCAGCTCATCACCCTCGTTAAGCGCTGGATAAAGCCACCGGTCTTTCTGTGCTCCAGTGCGAGACGATTACCTACTCTGCAGCGGTATTGGTGGTCGCCAGCTTAGTACTTGTGCTATATGCTAACTCCTTTTGAGCTCTCGAGTAATGGTTTGCATTTTTCCTGCTCTTCAGCGTCTCCTCCACCTGCCCCAGCTTCCAGCCACTCCAGCCCACCACTTCTGCCCTGGTTCACCACCCACGAGCCTGGAGATTCTTCATATGGGTAGAACACACGGGAGAAACACCACACGAGCACGGGGATTGAGAGACCACCACCTGCACACTCGAACGGGAGGATTGCCACGCGTACACCATTACAGGAAGGACGTCACACGAGAACACGTACGGGAGATCACCACACAGACAACCTCATGGAGAAGACATCCCCTCACCCTGGCACCCGCACACCAGCCCCAGATTCCCTCACTAGCCTCCCCGGTTCCTCACACTCCCTGGTTTCCCTTCAGTAGAACTTGTTAATTCTAACCCTGTCTCTTTTTCATTCTGGGTCCAGCACTTCTTCACTCACCTAGTGGCCACCAGCCATAACACCATGTATAGACAGTTTGGACACCAATGGGCCCCAGAAACAGGTCAGAAAAATCTGATAGCTGAAATGAGCAACAACTGAACACACAAATAATCTGGCAATTTAATACTTTGCTACAATCAGCACTTAAATATGAACCAATTAGTTCTCTAGGCACTAATGGTACTGTGTACCACAGGAAAGAAGATAAATTCAAGATCTATCGGATGCTTAGATGCTTCCACTGTGATTTGGGGGAATTGAATTTAATGCTTTTTTAAGTGTTGTTTTTAGTGTGTGTGTGTGTGTGTGTGTGTGTGTGTGTGTGAGAGAGTGTGTGTGTGTTACCTTTCTCTGTGGCAGTGCAAGCCAGTCTCTCCTCCAGCTGCTGCCGGAGGCGGTCATTGGTATGAATAGAGTCCTCCAGTCTCCTCCTCAGACTCCTGATTTCTGTTAGGTGCTCTTTCATAAGGTCTGAACCTACAGTAAAACACAATTTCAGACTAAATATGTCATCTAAAAATTACCAACCACTCTCCCTTAATTAGCTGTTTATTTGATTATGAAAAAGAGCTTAAAACATGTTGTAAAAAGATGATTTTGTATAACATTGATCATTTCATAACTAGAGTGAGGGATTGCTTTCTGTTCTTTGCTTTTATATCATCGTTTTATCATTGAAGATAAAATATCTTGAGGTTTTGAACTGGGAGCCAAAAAAACCAAGCAACATTAAGATTATTTTGATATATTCTATAACCTTAACCATTCATCATTTAAACTAAGAAATAACCTCAACACAATACAAAGAGACAATCAGTGAGGTGTTCGAAGCTTTTATGTGTTCTACCTGTGACACTGGTACCTGACTGGTACCCTGATGATCCTGAAGACAAGTCAGCTCCAACTCTCACTGGTCGAGTACCATAGGTCATATCCAATAATGCACTGCTGTGCAGCAGGTTGGCCCCAGCTTTCATTGCGGAGCAGGCATCCAGACTGCTGTTGCTTGCAACAGTGCTGAAAGGAGAAGGCTGGAATCCTTGGTAGGAGAGAGACAGGAAACCAGAGGAGTCTGGCTGCTGGTGGCCAAATGGGAAACCCTGCAGAGGTTTGGACTGGGGAGTGGAAAACCCTGTTGAAGATGATGAAATAAAATGAAGCAAATGAATGATGAAACACATAAATGAATAAAGGAAAACAATGCAAAAAAAAAACAACCCTGAAAATAATATTGTACAAATATACCAATTGTCTATTTTCAAGTTTCAGTGTACTAAAGATAAAGGCAAAGAGTGGACAGCACAAAGAAAAAAAAGAAAGAAACAAAGGCAGTTAGAAGGATGTGGATTATTAAAGCTGATTTGCTCTCACAGTTTCACACCCTATTTATCTAAATGAAGCCGTCACAGAACCGACAGTATAAGGCATACCATAGAAGCATGCACAGAGGCATGTCTACAGTCGATTTATACAGTGACTATAGATTCATGATTATTTGTGCTTTTCAAGAAAATAAGTACAGCAGAGCACGTTGAGTTGTTAAATTAGACGTTCTGTACATTACATCAAAATTCATCCCAGCACAGACGGTAGCTGCTGATGGCAAGCACTGTACTTTTCTTTTACAAAGTTTTTTTGTAAATGTTTATCAGTGACTGAATTTGGTTCAGTTGAAATTATCTGATGATTCTGCTCTGTTCAGATGTTAGTTATATATTCAGATACATATTTAGTTTGTTAAGTTTTAAACTTGGTCACACAAAGCTATGCAAACAGTATGATTAACGCACTGTCACTGTCTCCCAACTGTCTCTGTAACATCTGCAGCTCCTGATGCACCTCGGCCAGAGAGAAACCCACCCCCCTGCTGCCTTGGTAACGGGTACGCAGATTTGAGGGGTGAGGATGGAAGGGCAAGGGTGCCTTCTGGGTGGAGGAGTAGGGAGGAGGGTGACAGAGAGTAGAGCTGACTGAGACAGAAGCTGAGAGAAAAGAACAAGAGGAAGGTAAAATGATGGGTAAAAAATAGAAAACAGAAGAATGAAAGAAAAATACAGAAACATGCAGCCTGCACAAACTATCAGTTCAGAGGTAATAGGTGAAGCATAAAAATCCCATGAAGGAAAAGTCTGCTTTTTAATAACTTGGTCAACAATTTTTGGGCTCCTTCATACCTGTCTGAGTCTGCACAGCTGTAGGTTTGTGTGGTGAGCCTGAGCATTGCATGCTGGGACAGCTGAGGCAGGGCTGGGCACGGTGGGATGGGGTGATGGATGGAGCAACAGATGCATGGCTTGACATGGTACCACAGTAAGAGTGACCATCTGGAAATAGAAAGATTTCGCTGTCACCAAAGGACACAATGGATAGCACAGATCGTTGACACAGACACCACCACATTATCTGACACAAGCTGTCTAGATGTTTAACCCCTGAAGAATTCTGTACTTTCACATTTCTGTAATCTGTGATAAAAAAAATATTAAAAAAAGTGGAAATAACAATACTGCAATACATGTCCCAAACTTGTAGAGCAGGCTTTGAGAAATAGGTCTGGTCAAGTTCTTTATACATACACCACTGTGCTGCCGGATATACTCACAAGAGCACCAAATGTGTGTTAATCTGCTGCTGAAAATATTCCCCAAAATTGCACAGTTTCCTTCAATTTGATTTCTCAAATGTTTGCATATTTTCCCACAAGGATAAATATAACTCTAGTTATATTTGTAGAACTCTCTTTGGTGTAAACAGCAGTATTTTTATTCTTTTTTATTTTTTAAACCAAACTTTAAAAATGTTTGTAATGTTTTTTTGTGTTGATTGCCTTTCCACTATTTGGACATGCAACTTTTGGTAGCAGGGCATAACTAAATGCGATCTGAATAATGCATGGGGCCATCTCACCTATACTGACACTGGTAGAAGTCTGTATTTCCTCCTGACCAAGCTCACTGGCCCCATCCACATCGGAGAACAACTCCAGGTCCTCGTTTGTGGATCTGTGCTCATCAGACACATAAGAGATGCGATCCGATTGGTCGGTGGTGTCTGAGAGGGCGTGGCTGCTGCAAGGCGTGTCAGAACGATGATGATGCTGGTTGAGTTTGGCATAGAGAGACTCAATGACCTTGTCCTTCTGCTGCAGCTCCTTACTGAGCCTGCACACACACACACACACACACACACACACACACACACAAATTAATATGCGCTTTATATCTGAGTAAAGGTAAAGGCATTTACTGTAAGCCAGACCCCAAGTCGTATATAGCATTAGTGCAACTCACATATGCACATCAAATTTAGTTAACCTAGTTCATTCTACATTTCAGGTTTTAAGTGTCAGTTCCCAGACAAAAGGATAAAGCTGGGTAGAGAAGATAAGAGTCCAGCTCCTTCTCCTCTATCAGTAACAATTTTATGTTGCTTTCAAGCAAAGCTTTTGACATCACACACCTAAAAGGCTGAGTGTGGCGTATTACTTGTCTTCTAACCTGTGCACATGACAAGTAGGCATGTGTGAGCTCATAGAACAGCATCTGCAGGAGAAAAAACATCCTCCCAATATAGCATTTCTGTTCCGTATGCACAAATGCAGCCCCACCAGCACTTTTTAGACTTAAGAGGCAGGGACAGTAGTTAATAACTCTGCCCCTCTGATTGGTCACTTTCAATGGCTTTCTCCTGCCCCCCGGTAATCGTAAAAGAAGTACTCCGATCCTGTACTCAAGTAAAAGCCAAAGTGCAGAAATATTTGGTTACCAGTAAAAGTAACAGCAAGTAAAGCAAAAGCATTATGTACTTTCATTACCCAAAAAGTATGTATTGTTCACAATGGTCCATTTAAATATAATGTATATTATAAAACTGGATTATAATCAGTGGCGGCTGAGGGCACAGGGGCGCCGCCCTCCCACTACTAATGTCCAGATAAAAAGTAGTTCTCAAATGTAAAATTGAATTTCAATTAATTATAACAAAATGATATTAAAATTAATAATAACATTCATATTCTTTTGATATATTAACAATATTTGTATTATTAACAGATTTAATATAAGTCTTTACTGCGTGTTTGCTAATTTTGCACTTCCTGGATGCGGGGCGCCGACCAAATGAATGTGTATGTAGCTCGATAAACTGCTCATGTTCATGTGACCTCGGCCCGGGCTCTGATTGGCAGCTGCAGACTTTCTCACGGGACGTCGCTCGGTGCGTCCCGGACCCTCCCACTTTTGCTGTAAGCCAATTAATTTTGTCTTTATTTGCTTTTGTCTTCTGTGGTTGGATATCAAAACTGCCCTTCAACGTTCTTAGGACTGCGCTTTCTGACATTGTCACGGCCTTTCACCTCCTCTGCTACAGGATCACAGCTGCTGTCGTGATGGCTTAATGCATTGACCTGCTGTCAGTGGAGAAAAGGCTGTTCGTTGAAAAGAGCGCGTGTAGAATTCATCTAACTGGGTTTAACCTCGGACAAATCTGACGTGAGAGCGCCCTAGTTTATTATTTTTAAAGTCATTTTTGGTCACACACCGGTCAGAGCACACCACAGCCACCAAACAGCCGCTAGCACAGCCTGCTATGTGGGGCGTTTAGGGAACATCAGTACATCGTCTATCAATAAGAAAATGTTCAGCAAGTCATATGTTTTATCTTTGACCAGGTGGGAGGTGGGACAAAATGAGAAAGTGGGTCGTACTGGTGCTACCAGTGGAAAAAGTTCATCTGGAGCCCTGAATAGTGTTTTTTTTTTTTTTGGTCAGTATTTATGTTGTGTGTTTTGAGTTTGTACAGATCCTGTAAATATTGATGAAAGTTTGATGAATGGTTTTGAAATTTACTTCTGGTAATTCTTGATAACGTTAAATTATATTATGATTATGATCGTCCAAAAGTAGACAATTTGTATTACTTTTGGTCAGTCTGTGATCCTTTTCTCTAGTAAGTCTGATATTTAGTTTGTATAGTGGTCTTCTGTTGGTAGCTCCATAGTGCTCCCTGGTCTGTCAGTTCAGTCAAGCGTTCCACCTTGCTTCTGTTGTACCTTTTGTATCATGTTGTTAGCTAGTGCTCTGAGTCATGTTGGTTTTGCAATTTTGTTGATCTCATTCTCTCGTAGTTTACTAGTTGACATCCCAGAAATGCTTGTTCCTCTGCTAGTTGTGTTCCCCTTCCACCTTCTCTTCCTGGATAGCACGTTTACTTTCCTCATCCTGTCACTGTTGATTTGCAATAAACTTCGTTGCACTGATTCCTATCTGCTTGTGTTCTTTGTCTGCATCTCCAACTTCTAGATGCAGATTTTGTCACGCTTCTAAACTGGCCGCCTTTCACCACAAATTCACAACTTACATTTGTTAAAATATGAAATTACATTCCCTTAAAATGTAACTGACAATGCAGTTTAGTTGCACAGGGGTGTCATTTTGTGGAAAGAAGGGTAATGCAACATTACTAAAGTTAGTTTATCACAGTTTTTCACAGTAGTCCTGCTCCAATTCAAGCATGCATATTTTAAAATGATCGCTTTAAGAATAAAGTCGTTGGTAAAAGTTTTAAGAGAAATTTCACTGCACCAAGAGAATCTGAGAGCCACACAAGCTGCCTTGTGACTTCAAGGATAAGAAGTATTAGTGTTGTACTAGCTGTATGAGTCATCTACATGCTGTTCACGTAAAGGCTTTGCTGGCTGCATCATGTTGCTTAGAGGACATGCAGAATGTTTGTATAATATGAGGCCACAGCATATCCATCCATCCATCATCTATACACCGCTTAATCCTCTCTAGGGTCACGGGGGCTGGAGCCTATCCCAGCTGACTTAGGGTGAAGGCAGGGGACACCCTGGACAGGTCATCAGTCTATCACAGGGCTACACTTAGAGACAATCAAACACACTCACATTCACACCTACGGACAATTTAGAATCACCAATTAACCTCAGCATGTTTTTGGACTGTGGGAGGAAGCAGGAGAACCTGGAGATGGAGAACATGCAAACTCCATGCAGAACAATCCTGGGCGTCCTAACTGGGACGAACTGGGGATCTTCCAGCTGCAAGGCGACTGTACTAACCAACGAGGCACCTTGCAGCCCCCACATCAGATCACATTGGGAAAATACAGACTTACGGTTTCATAACAATAACATATTTACACTGACATGGAATATGTTAATATAAAAACAGTAGGTGGAATAAACAACACACTCCGTAATTACACAAGTTGTGTTAGCAGTGTTCCCTGTGCTTGTTTAATTAACAGTGATGTATTGGTAAACAGATGCCAAAGTGAAGGTCATCTAAATCAATGCCAGGCCAGCACCAAACACACACAGACAGACAGACAGACAGACAGACAGACAGACAGACAGACAGACAGACACACACACACACACACACACACACACACACACACACACACACACTTTTTCCACCAGTGGTGTGTGAGTGTAGGAGTGGATCTAGTTAAGGTTACAAGGTGCTAAAAAAAAGTGCAGACCATTAACCATTTACCTGTGTTTACATGAGAATTTCAGCTTTTACTGCGTGAGCATTAAATTGCCATGGTTGTGCTGTCTGAGCAGTGCACTGAGCTTACTATGTTTCTGATTCTGAGGTGCGTTAGGAGCACATCTGTCATATCTGATGGAAGTACACAAGTAATTCAAATCCTGTCTAGCTGATGATTTCTTGGCTAATGGTAACAGGATCAGTAAAGTGTAGTCATAGTAATATCAAGAGTAAAACCTGTCTACACCAGCCATGTCTGGCAAAACACTCCATCAGTGGAGACAAGTGCTAAAAGCATGAATATGCTGCTTTTTATCAAGAAACAGGCCATACATATAACTTCTCTTAAACCACAATTTGCTGTATTTGCATCTCTCTTTTTGTAAACTAAACTACATTCATTAGGTAAATAACATAGCTTTAGGTGTTGGAATTGGTATGTTTGTTTGTTTTGACACAGAGCAAGGCAAGCAATTTCTTCTTTTTCGCTAAAGTAGCCCGACTCCAGGTCTGTAGTTAATGTACAGACATGAGACATTAATTTATTGCAAAGAAGTACTTTGTACTGTTGTTTATGAAGACATCCATCCATACATTCATTATCTATACACTGCTTAATCCTCACGAGGGTCACGGGGGGGTTGGAGCCGATCCCAGCAGGACACCCTGGACAGGTTGCCAGTCTATCACAGGACTACACTTCGAGACAGACAACCAAGCACACTCACATTCACACCGACTGGCAATTTTTTAGAATCACCAATTAACCTTTTTGGACTGTGTGGGAGGAAGCCGGAGAATCCGGAGAGAACCCGCGCTGCACGGGGAGAACATGGAGACTCCACACAGAAAGATCCCGGGTGTCCTCACCGGGACCTTCTAGCTGCGAGGCAACGGTGCTAACCACTGATCCACCTTGCAGCCCTTTATTAAGTCATATATATGAAATTTTGTTTCTTTTTGTGCTCGTCTTACTTGTTGAGTTGTGCAAGCATCGATCTTCTCTCCCAGTCAGAATGTTTCTTCAGCAGCAGCAGCTCTCTCTCCTGAACCTTCCATTCCCACAAGGAGAAGGAGAACAAAGAGTCTCTGTACAGTGGGCTGCTCTTCGACAGCATGACCTTCCACAATGGAGCCATCATCCACCTTGAGTCCCTCTCTGCTCCCTTGACCAGTAGCCCTCCACCTTATTACTGACCGACCATGACTCCCCTGTCTGCTCTCCTTTCTTTTGAACTCTGGGGTCAGTTTAACTTTCTCTGTTGCAGTATTTTCCACTTGGTTGTGTCTCCAGAGGGAACAGAGTGCAGCTCATTAGCTCAGTGGACAAGGTCCTAACCCCAGAGTGCGTATCACAGAAGGTACAGTAAAGAGGCAGATCGTGAGCAAGGGATAAAGGGATGGAGGTTTCATCGGTCACACAGGTGAAAGGCCCAGCAAATCTTGATTAGGTCTGGCCTTCTCAGGAAGGTGATTTTTGATGGTTTTGACCTAAATAACTCCTAAGTCAGAATCTAAGGCAGTCAATTAAAACTGCAAAGATTCGTATTGAGAGAATGCAGATTGAAGACAAACTAGAGCTCCACAGAGCAGATTTGAAAGATTTATGCATTTCCTGGCATTCAAATGTTTTGGACCAACAG